CAAAGAAATAGTAAGCATGTAAGGTAAAATAAGAAAATTAATTCTAGAAAACATTTTGCCTATCAAACAAGGCAAAAGATGGAACCAATTTTCATGGAAAATTTATGCTATCAAACATAGCTCAAGGAAAACCATAATGAATAATGGACCCCATGCACATTAATTATTTAAACTCAATCTTTAAGGGTGTTTTTGAGTCACATTATTTTGGAAGAATGTATTCTGAAATAGTAGATTGATGGAGAATTTGTGGTTGAAAAAGAAGGAAAAGTTATTGATGTGATGAAAAATATTATTTTATTTAAGAATGTGTGGTTGAAAATGAGTAGAATAATGAAAATGAAAATTTTAATGTGTACCAAACATGGGCTAAAACGAAATTGCATCTGCATAATAATTAAGATGAAACTATTTAGCCCTTGTTTGGTTCCCATTATTTTCAAAATATATTTTTCACTATTTTATTTTCAACCATACGATTAATCAAGTAAAAGTGTATATTTTCTCGTATAAATATATACGTACATCCTCATATATATAGACTACTCGAATAATGAGCAATTAGTTAGAAATAAATAATTATGTGCGTTGGTGGGGGTGTGCTCTTGGTTTATGCCCCCACCAATGCATGCTAAAAGGACCTCGTGCATGCCAAAAGTTTATGAACCTCGATTTTGATTAAAAATAAAATAAAATTAAGAGACCATAAAATGAAAAACCGCAAAAATAACGGCCTACTTTTTTGAAATTTGGTGTAAGAAGGCGCGAATGGCGGATTAGATCGCGCAAAGATATCGGCGCCAAAGTTAATTTTAATGATTAGTGTATTGTGGGGTTTTGTTGCTTTTGTAAGACAAAACCTGTTGCTTTTACTTGATCTCGTTTTATCATTCGGATCTTCTTATCCTACTCTTTCTCTCCATTCTTTGAGACTAAGCTTTTGATTTTCCCTTATCCACACACATATACACACACAAAAATGGGGCCTAACTAGCCACGGAGTCATGACTTGAAATTAATGGAGAGCTAATTTAATTACGAAAACTATTTTCAAAATACATAATATTAAAAATAGAAAATAAAAATGTCACGTAAAAAAATCTTAAATTTTCTTGGCGCCAAAGTCCTCACCTCCCTCCGCTACTACGTCTAACATACAATATTGTTACGATAAAATTAATTGACAATAGGTGTAATTCACGTCTTGAATTTACTTAGGGTTTGTTTGATTGCAAATGTGGAATTTGGATGGAAAGAAAATGAATTACACGGTATTGAATTGTCTAAAATTTGTTTTACTGAGAATTGTAATTAATCGTGTTTGATTGGTATAATCTTCCACCTGAAAAATGTTGAAAATTTGGTGTCCGTTTGTCTTTGTTTTTTCATGGAAGTTGTCCATGAAACTGATAATTTTTTTACCATTGGATCTAGAATTTGTTTCAATTGCCAAAAAATATATAAATAAATAAATAAAATTACCATACGGAACACCATTCGTTTGGCTTTGTTTTGCATGAAAATTGTCAATAAAAGTGATAATTTTTTTTTACCATTGTGTCAAGAATTTTTTCTAGTTGCCTTAAAAATAAAAAAAATAAAAAAATAAAAAAGCAAGTCGGAAAACCATTTCCTACACAAACCATGGGAAAATGAATTCTATAAAAAGGAGGAAACGTGGCGCGTGAGGGGAGAAGCAAGAAAAGGAATTCTATGGAAATGTTTGGTCATCAAACACACAAAAAGTTGGAAAATGGAAAACAACATGTATCAAATAGGGCCTTACGCTAGTATATTGCATTTATAATTGCAGTATTTGTCCTAGGACTGGAGCCATGAATATAATCTAGTAGGGCATGACTTACTAAGAACAAATATTTTGAAACGATATTTGTTTTACGACTTGTTCCGCTTTCGATACTGTGAAAATATTGTATAATAAAATCATTATCAATGTCATCAAATATATCATTCTTAATATAGACAATCAAACTGTCATTTATTTTTTGAACTCCAATTTGATTATGTAGTCAATTCTTCATATATTCATAGTATAAAATACTTTCTAAAGTACTAATGACAACTAAAAGAATTAATGTCCAAATCACAAAGTTAAAAAATGTAGGGATAAACAAATGATTGGTACATTTCTTTTCTCATAATTGTTAAAGGGTGTATCTTTTAAGGAGCGTATGGTATTGAGTTACGTGGACAAAAAATCTTTAAGTTCTAGTAAGTCAGCTGCCACACTTGCCCCATTGTCATTCCATCATTAATGTTAAAGAGTAATTGTTGACCTCATTTTTGTAGAGGATGTGGTCAACAAATTTCGACTTCTTTCATGTCCATGTAGTCTTCTTACACATTCGGACAAACCTTTAGAGCATGTATCTCGAGCACTCCAACAGTCCAGCTAGTCAACGGGAAGTAATGTATTGGACGTTAGACGTGTTAAAAACATGAGCCACTAAATGGAAGGGGTCAAATTCAAGAGTATGTAAATAGAGAGAATAATATGAGAGCAATATTATAGTTGAGTATATAAATTTGCATTACCTTCAAATGGTATTAATTATGAGTTTTTATAATAGAAGATGTGAAATACTGACCATTGGATCAAGAGACGCGTAGCCTCATCTTGATTGTCGATGTGTGTCTTCATAGGTATCAATCCATCCATCATAGACCGTGTTGTTTAATGATTCTAAAAAGCAATCACCCTAGTACTTAGGTCTGACCTGTGAATCGTAGACTAATGATTTGACCTTTTAGGCACCTTATGTACAAATATCAGATCAATCAATCGTAGGAGGATCTTGTGCAGAAGATCTCCAGGAAGAGGTGAAGTGGGAAATCCCTTTTGCTAATAAGAAGGTTACTTGTCTCAAATTCCTTCTCTACAACATGCATGACATCTAGTCTAGACAATGGAGATCAACCTCTACATGGCACCTTGACGAAAGTGATACATTACCTCAGTTACCTTATATATGGCCTCACCTTGATCAGGTAGGAGGGTGACGTGGAGTGTGAGTTTAGTTAGCTTGCTAGCTGACTGTCACGTAATAGTGGTCTGAAGCCTCATCATAAAAAATATAAAATTTACCATTACGTGTTCCAAAGGTTAAAATTTGTAGATATCTACAGTATATTGACAGTGTGAAGTAAC